TATCTATTTAAAGTTAAGTTTAATGATTTTGTGGGAGCGGCGAAATATCTGTTCCGATTAATTCTCGAATGGAATAGGATGAGTCCGTTGTGTACACTGCAATTTTCTCTGTAATACTGCGCAGTAGAACGATTTCGTTGAAGTGTCTAAAAATTTAGGTAGATATATAAATTTTAAAATAATTTTATCGGATTATCAGAATAATTATGTTGAAAATTTAAGCACATAATGAACAATGCTGCAAAAAATTTTAACATTCTAACAATTATCAGACGTAAATGTTTTGATGGTTCAATAAAATTATTTTTAGCTTTGTATCTGTATAGTTAAATTTTTAGATACCTCAGCAAAACTGCAGTTTATTCTCTGTGTCGATTAAAAATAGTTTGGCTCGACACGGTTTCTCACATAGACTTTAATTATATATATTTTTATTATTTTTTGTTAATATAATCTTATTTTTTTGTACATGAACCAATGAAAATATAAACGATTGTAAAATAGCAATAGCAGTAAAAAATTTGTTTCCGTAGAAAGAATTTTGCTTCATCATCTTCTTGGTATATACGGTAAAAGCATTTCTGTTGATGCCTTTATTTTGTAATTACAGCGAATGCCGTAAATTAGTAGATTACGATGTTATTTATTTATACTGCATCGAACAAGCTCCTTGTCGCCGTTTATTATCCTCTCGTTAAGGAGTTGCTTAGCAGTTCCACGTGTCAGTTAAAAAATCCTTGACTTTCTCTATCTATCTGTTCAAATGATCACAGAATTGTTAATTTCGTAATAATATAATCCATGATTTTGTAACAACTCTCTCACGGATTTATTCAACTTGATATACTACTTTTGTTGTTATCGAATTTTCAATTTTTTTTATTTATTATACTACGAATTCAGAGAAAAAGAAACCGAAAAATGTGACGAGACATTAAAGCTCTATATATATTAAAGTAGTACAAAGGTCCTCCATTTTTTATTTACTAACCATACTCTATACCAATAATACTAAGCGCTTATTGGATTGAGTCACAAATGGC